ACACTGAAGTAAGCCTAACACTTCAGACGCCAATGAACAGGACGACTGGCGCACGCTTTATGTCAACTTTACACTCTTTGGATAGCGTTGCATTGCTAAGTGTTTGGTCAGATATCAAGTAGCTCTTCAGTCTGTAGCCTGTAGAGGGAACGGGAAAATATTTATAGACTGTGAAGATATAAATTTAGATATAACTAAATGTTATTTTTAGTCTCAAATGTTTCTCCCTTATAAACCACATAACCTATTCTTCGTTTAAGAACTTTTTATTTATCTTTGTTTGTTTGTTTGTTTATTCATCTATCTATCTATCTATCTATCTATCTATCTATCTATCTATCTATCTATCTATCTATCTATGTAAGTATTTTTGCAGTTGGCAATCTTTCTATTGACTGTAATGCAAACTCACGTGTGTTTGTGTGTTATATTTCTGGAGTATTGAATCATTGGACCTTGTGGGATGCAACTGTATGCAGGGAAATTCTTGGCTGGTTTATCAATTATTATGTAAATATGGAGCGTTTACATATTCCGCACGCTCTGGGATATCGATCCCACGGTTGTTCAGAAGCAAAGACTTTAACATCAGATTCCGTGCGGTTTCATGCGTGATGTGATCATTCCCGACATTTTGATCAGTTCGTCTTTATCTACCGCTGTTACATCTAGTTGTTTAATTTTGCTTTGTTTCTGTATTAACTAGCCCTCTGTTCTAATTCTAAGATCGTAAAATTAATATTAAAAAATTGATCCGTCTATCCATTTATATCCATTTATCTAGTACAGAGTCTTAGGAACTTGGTTCCTTGCCAAGAAGCAGACGGTACGTGACAGGGTGACACCTTGGATGGGAGGCCAGTTCATCACAGCATTTAATGTGATTTAAAATGTACAAATTTCTGCGTTACAGTGAGCAACCGCTCCGTGCGGCTCTCAAAAGTATAAGGTCACCCAGAGGTTTATGTTGCCTGAAGCTGTACATTTTGTATTCAGCTCCGAGTATAACTGAGTAGCCTGATAGGACAGGAGCTGCTTGGTATGTTGGTCACATACGTTAAAGGAAAAAGGTAAAAATTCTGCTTTTGGCCCGCTTGTTTCCTCTAGGCCAAGGGAAAATCAAGGCAACACAAGTAGATTGTGTAACGTACTACAGCAGGCCTTGCCATGGAGCTTATGTGAGATTTAGAGGTTAACTGTCAGTTTGTTTTCTTGTGAAGAGGTTGTTGTCTCTCTGAAGGCTACCGCGATGGCCTTTTCAAAGTCATCGTTTCAGTGCCAGTGAATAATTGCGCATATTCGGAAATCCATTCACCCATTAACGAATTAGACAACAAAGCAGTGTTTTTCTTTTTTTTTTTCCGATGAAGCGGAGAAAAAATCGCCCGCATGCAAATTATTTCCCCATGATTTTGAGAATTTAAAAAGTTTGTCAAAAAAAAAAACATGTCATGCCTAAACGCTTGTATTAATTTAGAAGTTAAATAATTTACCACAGAAACATTGTCTCTCGTGTTTATGAGAGCACCTTAGCCCTTCGTGCTGCCGTCTTCCTTTTTTTTACGTCCGTCTTTATCATTTGTCTTTTTTCTCTCCTTCTCTGTGCCAGGCTACTAGTCCGCCCTGTCCATTCTTGCCCTCTGAGGTACATAACAGATTGTACTGATCTATGGCAATGAGTGTGACTCACACTTACCGGTTCACCTTGTAAGTATACCTCATGCCACAAACAGAAAACACTTCAGGGTAGTCGGGATGTATTCTTTTAACACAATCATGTGAAGTAAAATTTGCATATAATTATGTAGCCTAGTGCCCAGATATAACAATCCATCCGTCCATCTTCCAACCTATCCAGGATTATTATTATTATTATTTTTATTATTATGTTGCTGTTGTTGTCTTGCTGTCAACAAATTCTAAACATACTAGCAGTAACTGAATTTTGCATGTGTTTCATAGTAATGTGTTTTAATTGGCATCCTCTTCCTATTTGCAAAGCTATTTCTGGATCATGTAAATATCTTCAGATGTCTTCTTGCCATATGACTCTTGGCTTTTTTTTCAGGTATCATTAATAGAAAAAAACCAAAGACCACAACTAGTCAGGTTCTGACCAGAAACCATGCAGAGTCACCTCATGAATCCGACTCGATACGCTGACAAATGTTTGGAATCAAACATGAAAAGGGCTGTAGACTATTTTTATTTCCATTACGCAGTGTCACGTTACACCTCTTCGACTGCACCAGTGTCGCATTAAATGTGGTAAATAAGACATTCATCCCTGGGTACCTCTCCCAATCACATCTGGTTGCAGGTTAATACCTTTTGGGACATGTAGGGGGACAGATCTGTCATGTGACTCTGCAGACAGATGCCTGGCCCAAACCAATATTATGCCATGGGGGGGTGTCATAGGTAGCATTTGGAATAAATCGGGGCAAAAAACAAGCACCCCTTTGTGACTGAGAGGTTGCTAGATCCCATTAAACTTATAATAGATTTGATAATGGAAATTTCCCTCACCCTAATTCCATTGACTCAGAGGGCATAAATGTGAAGTATGCTGGTGTTAAACCCTTTGAACAGGAAATAGGTTTAAGTTGTCGAGGAGATAAGAAACAAATAGCCCCTTGTCCCTGTAGGGCATCGTCAAATCCAGGATTCCTTCAAAGGAAACCGCTCTTCAAATATCTAAATCACATGGTTTGTGCAGGCCCTTGTTTGATCATACACAAGGCAAATTTATACCCAAAATAGATCACATCTTAAGTAGGTTCCTGGACACTGTGTAAGATCATCATTAAAACTTGACTCTCCTGCTATACACAATGATTGTTTATTTTTTTAAATGCTGATATGCTTCCTTTAGAATAAATTCTGTGGATGCATCCTGTTTCATTGCTAATAACTGAGTAGGAACATTATGTGTGTATATTATCTTCGGTTCTATAAACTTTTTTTTAACCAATTAAGCTGATGTGCTGGTGGCTTTTCTATGTTACTCATGCTAGGATGACAGTCTTTTTCAAGCTATTTTGATGACAGCAAAAGTGCTTATGCAATGCAAAACTTTTAAGCAATTAATGGGTTCTCTTGCATCACAAAGCAATTTCTTAACATGGAAGTTCATTAATGCAACTTAAGTTTCGTAACTTGTGCGTTGACTGTTCATGCTTTTAAGATAAGATAAATTTTTCTATTAGGGCTCTGAAGATTTTTTTTTTTAGCATATAGAATGCAAATATTTGTCAGTTTAGACATGTAATTTTGCCTTGGGAGGTTTAAAAGATGAATCGTGCATTGTAATATTTTTAAACTGTTGCTTGTTTGTTGTTATCCTAGTTTTTAATCTATAATGCAATATAAATGCATAATTTAAAACTATTAAGTATTACATCAGCCACGATTTGTCTGCTCTGTCATGTAATATCTACATGTTGTTTACGTGTAGTAGTGAGAGAAAAATTGCAGGCTCTTGGTCAGGTGGTTGTTAGTGTAAGCAGCTGATGCAGTTGTGAAGTCCTTCCCAAATGCTGTACTGTCCAGCGTGATGGCCCACATTTTTCAAGGGTTGCGTTTGAATCTAGGTGAATACAAATCCCCTGCATAGCTATATTTAGCCAGCCCTCCCCAACCCGGCCTAGCCGGCTTTAAGTTGGGTGCTCCGATTGTTTTGATTCACTGAGGCAATCCTCTCCTGAAAAGATATTTTTAGAGAGGTATTGTTAGGCCCTTAAAACTAAACTGCCTACTTCACCACACAACAATGGCACCTAGGCCCCCTTTGTTTGTGGATTTCAATCTGAATCAGAGGCAATCACCTCTCCATTCGCTCGTCGCTACAAAATGAACTTCCCCTGCGGTCGGCATCTTTCTCCGGCAAATCACCCCGACGACGCACAGTAGGCGACGGACCGGGGATGCCGACCCAAAAGGGACAATTAAATAAACGTTTAATTTTGCGGGTGTGAGTCTTACTTGTTGACTTGCGTCTGTTATTGGAGTTGTTCAGACACGTTTCGGGGTGGCGGCGATGGTGGAGGTGTTCCTGAAATGTTGCCAGTTCTGCGCATTTGGTATAAATGAGCCGACGCTAATGAAAGCCCTGCGCAATATCTAGGAACTTCTTTAATGAGGAACAATAGCTGGCATCTCAAAGCCCTTGCTCTCACAATGAGGGAGAATGGCACTGAGACAAGGCCCTTCTTGGTGCGTTACGCTGCGACGAATGGCACTTTAAATCGTAAATCAGTCTCTTCAAGACGTCCAGGGCCTCTTTTAAGGACAAATAACTTCTGTGTGTTTACTCTCCGCGAATTCCACTAACAAACGCATGTCTGTCTCGATCTACGATAATGTTTTCGTTCGGCGGAAAGCCAGCGGTCAGGGCATCCAGGAAACGTGGGAAGATCAGAAGCTCCCCCTATGCATCTCCCCACCTTTATTTATTTAAGTTTCTGATCCCCCCCCTCCTTGAAAAAGTCATCGGCCAGGAGTGATGCACCTTGGCGGTAAATACTTTGCATTCCTGTACTTTCCGTATTAGGAGTAAGTAGCTTTGTGCAAGTGGCAGAGCTTTTCTCTGCTAAGGGAAAACCAGAACTTCTGACAGATCCACCTACCGCTAAGTACTTTGTCGCCTCGGAGGCGACGTTTCGCTCCTGCATCTTCGTATGCCATGTGTTGGTCCCCATTTACATAGATTACATCAGCCTATTGCTGTTGCATTGCTGAGACACACGTTCTAGAAACCACATGCAGAAAAATGAGGGAAATCAATCAGTAAGTAAGAGTTTAATTAAATTTTTTTTTGCAATTAATGGCTCAGTAAGCATTAGAAAACATGTACATAGATCTCCTATCAACTATATTAATTAAAGCTTCAAATTCCTCAGTCATACCCCCAGGGTAGAAACCGCGGAAATAACAACATTATTTAGGCATGTCATATATATTTTTTTCTTAATAAATCTATGAAACAGTTTATTTACACCCCTCCACCCCCACCCAGATTTTTTCAACGTGCACTAGCACAAGTTACGTGAGTGCAGGGTGACAGGTCTGGGGCACCCGTTGGGAATATGCAATCAATCATGAAAAAACGCACAAGGATATTGAGCAGAAGCGCTGAGCTGGCTTCCCCAGTAGAATGTGTTCATGTGTAACATCCCGCCGGCTAAGTGATACCAAAATGGCTCCTAGCCCTTGAAATACTAGCGTGATTAGCTGGAGGAATTGGCTGTTTGTGTCAATCACTCTCCCACACCGGCTCGTGCTTCACTTCCCGAGGTGCGCGCGGGGAGACGGCAGCACTCGGCTAACGGAGGCGACGGAGGCAGCAGCTGCCCGGATTTTTTTCCCCCCCTCGTGCTGGTGATTAAATACTTCTTGTGTCTTTTGCCGCTGCTATAATCCGTGTAGCAGAGAAAGAGGTTGCGGGAGAATAATGGTGAATGAAGCTCTGAATCATTCCAGCTGGCTGCACCTCAAATAGCACTGTGTAGAGAATGGGATTGGACTCCCTCGTTCAGTCACTAGAGCAGCAGCATTTTAAGGAGTTTCTCCCAGAAATTGTTCCAGAACGAGGGGCTTCTGTTCTGCCTCTTCCCCCAGCAGGAGTCCCATTTCAGCTGGAGGTAAGTGAGCGTGCTGCTTCCCAGCCTCTGACTCCGGGGCTACGGGCAGGAAATACTGATGCATATTCGCGAGTTCGCGAGCGTCTGCGCGTGCAAGGCAGCCTCGCGGCGGGTTTTAAGGCGCCGCCGCGAGCATCTCCGCCTTTTTGTTTCTGTAACTCTACAGACGAGAAGACGGGCAGTCCTGTATCTATCTGTGGGGAGCACCAAACGCTGCTGCCGATCAAAGATAGGGGCATCTGGAGAGCGTTTTATATTTTGCTCATTAAACCTATATTGCAATGCATTGACAATGCATTTAACCTTTACACAATACGTGTTACGTGAATGATGTCAATAAACGTAATTAGTATGAAAATCCTTATAGAAAGCATATATTATGAAGAAACATGTGCCGTTGTAGCGCTGCATTTAATGCAAATTACGGGAATTAATTGTTATTACTGTGGTTAAATATTTATATTAGATGCAAACATAGGCAAGTTAACCTTGGTTTATTAGATGAAACGTAATCTAACTGTCTTGCTAGACGGACATCTGGAGTAGTATGTGATGTAAACTTTTCAGTCATTCCTGCTGAAATTCGTAAACGGCAGTGTGTAATGAGTCTTTCAGGGCGCTGCAAGTGTTAGATTAAGAATTACTCACTTATAAATAGTGGTGCAGGGGAAAAAAAACAATCTGCGATTGTTTTATTTAGAGTTGTTTGAGAGGTTGTGATGTCTGGCTTTTCGGTTTTTTTAGTTTTTGTGTGACACAATTTGTGATGCCTTAAGTACTATGCTATTTTGATAGATGTGCTGTATTATTCAAAATACAGTAATATAAAAATACTAAAGTTATATATTCTTGGAACAAGTTGGCAATATCTGCCCTCTGGTGGTGAAACCCAATTTGCATGTAAATAGAGGCTTTTCAGAACCTCTCACACCATGAGACATCCGGTTAGTGGACATCACTCATCTGCCACCTAGATAAGTCATAGAGCGTGTTTCCCAGCTAATATGACACTGCAGAAAAACAGAGGTATATCTTCCCCAAGTTTCGGCCAAGTCCTGGGACTCGTTCCATAAATCATACAGAGCCACAGCATGTGAAAGTGCTTGGTTTTTGTCCAGATTTACTTCCCACTTTGCAAGAGAGGGATAAAATAAGAGACCAAAAGCCTTTTATTTGTGGGACTGTATGGAGTTCCTCTGTGTATTGAAGTGGTTCTTTGAAAGAGGTGTCATTACTTGTGAAAGAGGAGTTAAAGAGGATGGCTCTCGCGTCTATTCCAGCAAGCGAGATGCCTGAATGAGATCTTCCTCGGGATAAAAACACCAGTTGGTGCTCAGTGTGTGCGCGTCGAGCTGCTAATCTTCAGTTGCATGCTGCATAAGTTCCTGCTAAGATCGTTAAAGGAATTAAGAACCACCAGTGAGTTGCTATCATAGTCTGACCACCTCTGTCAGAATAAAGATAACAGAGACACGGCTGAAAGACTCAAGTGGACTACAGGTGGAATTTTATCAAAATAATGAGAATATTCTGTGGTTAAATTGTCGTCTCTCTCAGCGGTTCAGTTAGGATGAGGAGTGAGGCTTTGGGCCAAGCCTGTCAGCCTATTAATAAAAAATAAATATTGAGAAATCTTTTTGCTCCTTCTCGCTATGTACGTATGTGTTTAAATCAAGCTACTGGTTGCTGTTGTGAACGGCCCCCGTCCCCGGCTGAAGTCGTCGTCGCGTGGCATCCGCACGGGGCCACTCGGGGGAAGCTGTGGCCACAGCTGGCAAGTGGCAGAGGAAATGCCCTTGGGGTTGGAGGGCTCTTTCTGGTCCTCAGGATTAACCTCTCCTCTGACAGGGCCCTCTAGACCTCCCGATACACACGGCGACCGTGGCTCAGGGGTGGCTGATGATTCGACAGCCCCACATTCAGAAAGGCGGCAAGGGGGGAACTCTCGAGTTGTAAATAACATGATTGTTCCCTCTGTGAGACTCACACGACCGCGCTCTCTCTCTCTCCTTCCCTCCCTCCCTCCCTCTCTCTCTCTCTCTCTCTCTCTCTCTCTCGCCCTCTTCCTACAGATAACACAGAGGAAATTGCACCAGGCCTCGGCTGCCTACGTCGTCTATCCCCATTCAAGAAAAAGGTGTGACCGACCAGTGAATCGTCCTCCCGCCAGCGTGTGCCAAAAGCGGGCCACTTTCACTGCCGCCTCTGAACGACGGTCCTCCATGCACTGCAATGGTTACATGAAAACCCTCTGAATGCTACAGAGCCCTGCGACGTCGCCACCGTGGAACACGTGACCCGTGGAAGAGCGCACACACACACACAAAGCGAAACCAACGGGCCTGGCTCGCCGCTTCGGCATGAGTTTCGTCACCAAGATGCGGCGTAACCTGAGGCGTCTGGTAATCCTGCTCACTACTTTCTGTATGGTGAGCATCATCGTCTCGGCCTATTACCTGTACAGCGGCAACAACCAAGAGCTGGAAATCTCCGACCGGGCGGCTGGCATGGATTGTGGGGACCTCAAGTTTCTGCCTTATAGGCTCCTGGAGTTGAAGACGGCAAAGCCTATCGACACGTCTAGGAAGGAGCCTGTAGTCCTGGTCTTTGTCGAGAGTCAGTACTCCCAGCTGGGGCAGGATATTATAGCCATTCTGGAGTCCAGCCAATTTCGATATCACTCGGAGATCGCGCCGGGAAAAGGCGACATTCCACCCCTTACCAACAAGGGTAAAGGACGGTATGCTCTCATCATCTACGAGAACATGATGAAGTACGTCAACATGGACCTGTGGAACAGGGACCTTCTGGACAAGTACTGTGTGGAGTATAGTGTGGGAATTATTGGCTTTCACAAGGCGAATGAAAACAGTCCACCGGTTGTAAAGCTCAAGGGCTTCCCCCTGTACCTTCACACCAACCTTGGCCTTAAGGATTGCTGTGTCAACCCCCGCTCACCTTTGCTCCACATCACCAAAGCAGAAGCAGATAGAGGTCCGCTCCCTGGGGAAGACTGGACGGTGTTCCAGTCCAACCACTCCACGTATGAACCCGTGCTCCTGGCCAAGTCCAGGCAGTTGGACAGTAGTAATGGACCGGCCCTCTCCGGCCAATCTCTGCACGTCACAGTCATCCAGGACCTGGGCCTTCATGACGGCATCCAGCGGGTCATGTTTGGCCACAGCCTCAGCTATTGGCTGCACCGGCTCATCTTCGTTGACGCCATCTCCTTCCTCTCGGGAAAGAAGCTATCTCTGTCCTTGGAAAGGTACATTTTGGTGGACATAGACGACATATTTGTCGGGAAGGAAGGCACCAGGATGAACGTCAATGACGTTAAGGTAAGGGAAGAGAAACTTGAGGAGATATCATCAGCCTGTTCTTGCCAGGCCAAGGGCCCCATTAAGAGGGATAAAAGCCTCGATGGCTTTCATTCACACTTTCTCACGTTCCGGCACTCAGTCACTATAGAGGCAGTGTAAGGCCTCTACTTGGTCTATTGTCTTGTGACTTCATGACTTACTGAGGGCTTTTCAGGCCAATGGCTGGACGTGTGACAACAGCATAAAGCCATCAAGTTATGCAAAGTGATTCGGTAGCTCTGGCTGAGAAATCTCAGAAGCAGTTGCTATTCTCTCAAAGTTATTACGCTCCAGGGTACCTTTAGAATGGGTTGAGCAGTTCAGTGTTAGTGCTGACAGTGTCCTGTTTTCATACAGCACGGGTGGAAGTGTTGGTAGATTAATACCAAAATGTTGCTGAGAATAAAGTGCCGTTGGTGGTTTACCACAAGTAACTCAGCAGTTTTGTTGTTTTTGACTACTGGGGACTTTGCTGGCTAACCAGACGTTTTGCATCCGAAATAATATTGCAGTACTTACTAATATTACTCAAGTGATGTATAATAGTGTATGTATTGGGTTGAAAGAGTGATTATGATTCTGCAATGTGTAAGGGAAAAGATTGAGTTTAAGTCTTAAAAATGTTCATAAATTTATTTGAGATCTGAAATGTAACAGGATATGACAATAATATAATCCAAGCTGACTCAATCCATTATTTCAATTGCTTTCATCAGAATGAAAGTTGCGAGACGTTACCTTCAGCATGATAATAAATATGTTCCTCTTAAACCATGTGGCCACAAGATTGCAAGTGCTGCAGTGCATATGTCTGACTTTACAAGGCTGATTAGTAAAGAGCATTCTCAAGACCATGTCGTAGATTGTTGGATCAGGTATGTGCCTTAGTGGGAAACATAATTGGAATACTAAACTATGTCTATACCTGACCAGCAATAACTTACCGACTGAGTAGCAGATGCTATAGTAAAAAAAAAAAAAAAAAATACAGCGATGAATTATTTTACCAGGCTAATTCTGCAAATTAATTTCTGAACTATTCATTTGAGATGTATTAAAAGGTTACCCGCATACATTTTTTTTTTACGGATTTGCCCTGAGCAGCTAATTTAAAGGATGGATATGAATTGCCTTTTGCAACAGTTTTGTCCGGGCCAGAGCGATCACAGAGGAATTAGGCCATGTGACGGGGCAGCTAAAATGTCAGCGTCAAACTCCTAGAGGGATGGCAAAAGCAAATCAAATTAGACCCTGGAAATTGTCTTTTGATCCTGTGTCCATTGTGATATTTGCATATCCCGGCTCTCCGGCTTCCAGAGAACCATCTGCTTGTGGCCCTCACCCGTTCCGGTCTGGGAACAGGTGGACGGCCGAGATGTGGAGAGAGTTGGCCCCTCTTTTTGTTCCATGGCCTGTCTGTCTGTAACTAAGCCACTGGAACTGGATGAAAGGAAGTAGCTAATCAATGAAGCGCCATGTTTGATTTGACTAGGGAAGAGTTATGGGTTCCAAGGAAAAAGAGAGCGAAATGAAAAAGAATTGGGGCAGTCAGAAACACCCCTGGAGTTGTGTCATTGTTTCATGAACATGTCTGTAAGGCAGCGGAACTGGCCACAATGTTTTTTTTTACAGTTTTCTTAATCCCTTAATTGTAAGATACGGGAATAAGAATTAGATTTGACATTTGACCGTTCTGTGAAACCGTACTTGAGTTGAAACTTGTAGTAGTTAATTTGCTTTTCCTGTGCAGATGTTGGACAGCTGGACGGCACTCTTAGACAGCCCTGTGTCAGGCATCTCCATGCAGCTGTGCTCTCTTCCTACTTCGAGCTGTGTGCTGCTTCACAGCTGCAACACAACTATCTACACAAAGTCTTGTATAGGATAACAACATAGTATAAAAACTGTGTAAAGATGTATAAAATGTAATTATAAATACACAATCCAACAACAGAATTGTGTGATGTACGACTGCGTACACCTGCTGAATGGCACCATTTGATTATCAACCATGTATTTGCCATAAACCATAATTATCTCAGCCTCTGTTTACGGTAAATGTCTCCACAACTAATTTTATATTGTTTTGCCATAGAAAGAAATTTATGGTTCTCGCTGGCTTGATTTTTGTTTTTGTTTTTTTGTTTTTTTCTTTCTGCCAAGTTTAGAAAGGTAGCTCAGTCTTGACTTAGTAACTGTTGCTGTGGAAATAAAAGAAAAAACAATGCCGGTTGGCGATAATACTGAGAGGTTGTGGAAGCTGTCATTGGCTGTCACCACGATGGCATGCGGCATAACAACAGGAATTTTTGATTTGGTCTGGAAGCGTCTGCCACTATAAAATACATTAATAAAGAGTGATGCCTAATATACCCCTGTGGGTGTTTTAATATGTGGCTCATGCTTGGAGTTTAGAAACTAACAATATTTGGCTCGTGTTTGGATCTTATGGTCTGGCGCAGAGGCTCGTCGGCTAAGAGGGCGGGAGTTTGGTCAACAGCAACAGCAATAAAGTTCAGTTCTCAAAAGGAAGGGACAGGTCATCAGATAGATGGGTAAAATGTTGTTAATTCAAATGATTCTTATTAATTTGCGTGTACCCGTAAAAATGTAGAGAAGGGACTCGACAGGATTATTTCGTAATTGTTTCCTTAATCCAGTGCTGACCTCCTTGGAGATTCCCCTGGAGCCCCCAGAGGGTTAAACCTGTACAATTGAATTTTAATTAATTAATGCCGTCACTATTAAATAATTCTCAATATTATAACAAACATCCCGGTCTTTTACAGGGATGCCCGTGACCTCACTGGATAACTTATTATAGTTTAGGCGAACGTTCGGTAGCAGCGTCTATGTTTTTCGCTTTCAGCTATCTAACCATAAAAAAAAAGTGCCGACAACAGTCACTGCCGGAGCAGTTCTCCATTAACTCCGTTTCTCATCAGAAGTTTGCGCAATCATGATGTCCGATCAGTTACTGAAGCGAGATGAAATTTAATTTAGCAGATTAAGCTATCTGTGTAGAAACGCATGCATTTGCTAAGCACACTATTACAGCAAACTGTGTGGCTGAAGTTTTTCTTTCCTGATTGTAATATGATGTGATTTCTGGAGACTGAACCCAATACTGTCACATTCGGTTAATCACCGGTACTTGGCATGTAGCTAAAGCAGGGCATCTTATCTCGAATGCTAACGCTAAGGGTGTCGTCACGCTTCTGAAAGTCGCCAGCTACCCGGGAGCTACTGTCTTCCTGTCGTCTTGAGAGCCACGAGAAGCCGATTTGCATTTAGAGGCTCGGTACGACACACATCCACCCGGCCACACAAGACAGGGCTGTGTTCGGCGGCACAGAATCGCCGGCTGATTTGTCAGCTCGTGTCATCAGTCAGCGGGCCGACGCCGCAGATTAGAATGTCACTCTCGGTGCACCACTGACATCTCCTCCCATTATGGCACTGAGTAATGTCTCAAGTGTCTTGGGGCTTTTGACAAATTGCCTTCGAAAAATTTTTGACCGAGGTCCTGTGTGCATAAAATATCTCATTGCCTTCACGTACAATAATTTATTTATTTATTTATTTTTCCCCTTCTTCCAGCCTTGAGTTTTCATCAGGGTCACTTTTTTTTGGGTTTTTTTTTTGGGAAGAGTTCAGGCTATATACTGTGTAGCGAATGCATAGTTCGAGGGGAAAGCCCAAACTTTCTCTTTCTAACGCAGAGGCGTATCGATAGGACAGGCAAAGATGGCAGTCGCCTGGGGCCCCGATTTGGGAAGAGGCTCCTGAGGGCCGGCCGATTTTTATATAGCACATCACAACAAAAAAATTTCTTTATTTGTGTATTCCTTTTTTTTTCTTTTTCTTTTTTTTTTACAAAGGAAAGGACTTGTTTATGGAATTGTCCTTGTTGATGTTATTTATTTGGACTTCACGCTAAAATAACGGTAACAAATTTGACAACGTCTGGGGAGAGTGAGCTGCAGGGCCCCATGGAGCTTCCAGGATCTCTAGAATCGGCTCTGCCCTAACATACGTCTCGCCAGGAGTAAGGTGCCAGCATGCATATACATGAGGATTATGGGTGGAAAAAAGGGGGGGGGGGGAGTAAAGAAACCTGACACAGTGTTCTGACACGGGAAACGTGCGTCTTTGTGTTTTGCTTTTCCTGGTGCTTTTCAAAGGCGGCGCGAGTTGAAAGTTGGGCCCAGGGGAAAGTTATCAGCAAGGAGCGAGGATGAAAACAAAAATGCAGAGTGAAGTCATGGGGCTGGCAGAGCCATCGCCGCGCTCTTGGCCGTGAGTCGTTTCGAAGAGGCGAAGAAAAAGATGGCAAAAAGCCAGTTTTTTTTTTTATTTTTTTTTTTTAAGTTTCTACTCTGTTCGAATCTCACTTCCTCTGACCTGAAATGCCGCATTTTTGTTTTTGCTACATTAGTTTTTATCCAAGCAGATGCTTAGTACCAGAATGAATTTTGAATTAACACTTACTTAAGCCGCACTGCCACATTTGCAATGATACATTTTGACATTAGTGCTTCTGCGTTTTGTATGTAACTGCAGCTCTAACAAAGGAATTCGGGTTAAACGCTTTGTTAAAATCTAGACTGGAAAGGACACCCCCCCCCCCCAAGTGGCGCCATGGGCCTAGTAGCTAAAAGCCCATATTCTTAATCACGGCGTTCTATGTTGTTGTAACACTGCACGTTCCGTGTTCTGCGATAACCAAGCTGCTGGTGCCACCTGACAAATACATGCAAATGAGCGTTTACGAGCTGCCAGGTGTGTTTTACTGCTCTGTAGGTTTCATATTTTTCGTGCTAAGCTGTTGATCTGTGCAGCAGATCGGGACTGTTGGATACTGCAGCCTGCCTGAGAAACAGAAGCCACAAATTAGCATGTGTCTGGTGTCTGCGTATGATTTGTATTTAAAGGCTTTGTCTGATGGCTTACCGCATCCGGTCTTTTCTGTGGGTTTT